GTGCAGACCTACTAAATCAAAATACTTGGTGGATGGGATCTCAGGCATTTTTCAAGTTCCACAGATGTGTTGCAAGGTTGAAAACTAATGGATTTAGCAAAAATGTGAAAGGACAATGCATCACAATACAAACCAATTTCTGGGTATATGACTTAGGAATTGACATTTTTAAAAAGCTCCCTGAGTGTTTATTATGTACATTTGAAAAATGCTATCTGCTAGGCCCAGTAGCACATGTCTGTGGAGGCTGAGGCGAGATCCTTCTCTAAAAAATTTTTTTAGAAAAGAGAAGTGAAAATAAAAAAGAAAATTAACGTCCTTGGAAAAGGCATTACACTGTTTGCCTCTGGCAACCTTTCCTCAACATTTCTGGCCTATTTCATAATTCCTGGGGTGCCGCGACAGAACTCCTCTGACAAACAAAGATAACTGGGTCAAACTGTTGTCTTACCATAGAATAACAAATTTATTATACACATTTTGAAATATTGAAGGCTATTCCCAACTACTAAAATGAGACCAAAAAAATCTTTGATATCAAGTCAGGTATGTATTTAATTTAATGCAGGATATCTGAAACAGATCTAGAGGGCTATTCTTTTCTTTACTGAAAAAGCAAACATTATTTACCATGCCAGAAAAATAAGCTTCTCAGATTTTAAAACTAAATAGCATAGAATCTAAACTCTGCCCCAATTTTCCTAAACAAAGTATTTCATGACTACATGACATAATTACTAAAGTTAGAATAAGATTGACATTTGGATATTATTATGACATTAACATTTTCCCAAGAAGTAAAGTTTACTTCAAGAAACTGCATCAACAAAATGTTAGAATTAAAATCTGCCATTTACTGCAAGGCAAATTGTTTCCACAAATAAAGACTGGTACACTGTAGTACTTAAGTATTTAAACTAATTAATCTACAGTAAGTGGAGCAACCTAACATGAAAACAATCACAAGGCAATTATAAAAGACAATCTCATAAAATTCTCATTGTTTCCAGAATAATCACTTCTAATAAGTGATTGTGATAAGCAGAAAACTTCAACTTAGTGAATACTGCCTAGAAAATGGTCAAATACACTCTACACTATGGTAAGAACAAACCTAAATGTAATTAAGACACAGTATAAAAATGCATACATTCTTAAGGCAGTCAAAAGAATGTTATTCTACAAAAGTAAAAAATATCATGTTTATAATTATAAAAAAAGTTCTACTTCTAAGGAAAAATAAGGTATGAAATAAAAATGACAACTTATAATTGATGAAGTACTACATCCTTGAGACTCTCAAATATATTACCATGTATATCATAAAACTATGATCAAGTTGAAGGCTAACAAAGAAAAATATGACCAAACATGATGAGGTTTTCCTCATCCTCTGTTACACTAAAAAAAATATTATTGAAGACATAAAATATGTAAATCAATATTTATTTTATTCTTCAAAGCCCCATATTCTTAGTTGCATTGCAATATTTCTAATAGGAAGACAAGAAAAAAATGAGAAGTGGCATCTGAAAACCAATGAAGGAAATCTACTTTACTCATTACTCGGGCAAGCTGAACACTTACCATTTGACTCCTCCCTTTAAACTGAACAGTGAAAAAAGAGAAAGCACATAAGAGGGCCTAATTTCAAAGCTTTTTAAAAAAAAAAAACAAGCATTAAAATTGTTTAACAATTTTCTCCACAGATAATTTTCAAAGTAAATGAATAACTGATAACAACTGCCTCAAGTTACTGCTAGTAACACAATATTTTCCTATTGTTTTCCTGTTAATACAAAATAAATGAGAACTGTAAAGTGCTTTTGTTAACATTTTTTTTAGTAGTTGGTAAGTTTGTATTAACAAGGAATTATGAAGGTAGGAACCAAATAAAACTGACACTAAAATAAAAAACTTATGGCTATTCATATAATTTCTAATTTCCAAAAAAATCTAGTAATAAAACACATACTGTATTTCTCCGTAAATATTTAATTCTACTGTTAGCCAAATTATCATACCTCATTTAAGTACTATTTGAAATACGGATGCTCTTCAGAAAATCAAGAACACAATACCTTTGTGGCCTATCTAACATAAGTACTAATTTTAGAAAAGATCACAAATATTACAGCCCAGGGTTCAACAGATTTTTTCTATAAAGGGCCAGAGAGCAAATATTTTATGTTACTGTGGATCACAAATAGTTTCTAGTATTATTTTTCTTCTTTTTTTTCCTCCAATAACCCTTTAAAAATGTAAACACCATCCCTATTTCTGTGGTGGAACCATATGAGAACAGGCAGTGATCCCAGGCTATGGTTTCCTGACTTCTGCTCTAGTCAAATTAATTATGATGCTTCAATAGTATACAACATAAACTGTAAGTAACTACTTGAAAAAAACTTATCTTAACATTTAAATGCATTTTCACCTAATCCTTTTTACAACCATACTCTTGTGAAACAACATATGATCTATTTTTGAAATGCCAATAAACTCAATATGAATATTTTTAAATATCTGATTAATCTATTCTCAAAGTTCATTAGATATTTGTAAAATTTTCCTACCACAAAAATGAATTTTAAACACAAAAATGTTTAAATAAGAATGTGCAGGCCAGGCGCGGTGGCTCACACCTGTAATCCTAGCACTCTGGGAGGCCGAGGCAGGTAGATTGAGCTCAGGAGTTCAAGACCAGCCTGAGCAAGAGCGAGACCCCGTCTATACTAAAAAAAGAAAAAATTAGCCAGGCATGGTGGCACATGCCTGTAGTCCCAGCTACTCGGGAGGCTGAGGCAGGGCAGTAGGATCGCTTGAGCCCAGGAGTTTGAGGTTGCTGTGAGCTAGGCTGACGCCACAGCACTCACTCTAACCAGGGCAACAGAGCAAGACTCTGTCTCAAAAAAAATAAAACAAAACAAAACAAAACAATTTTAAATTGTAGCAATGTTTCAAATATTTTAAGATAGAAAAGTAAAATTAAAATAGTCCATTGTTAATTATACCAATACTAAATAACACTAAGCATACAGAAAACTCTGGTGTGTAAGTTATTTTAATTGTAAAATTATTTTAAAGAATAAGGAGTCTGCAACTGAATTTATGACATAGCCAACTTAATCAAGTTTAGCAGTAGAATACATTTTAATTAATCATTTCCTTCTAGTCCCCTAAATGATTTATGTATGGCATTATTACAAATAGCTACACACATTTACTCCAAAAATGTAAAATTTATGCCAGAAAAATATTAAGAAAGTTAATTCCATCAATTTTACTATAAGCAAGCACTTTAGTAAATATTCAGCTAAACAAAAGGAGTAGGCAGAATTTTCTAATCCTCAAAAGAAGTTTCCCTAAGAACTGTACCATATATGGTCTATACGTGATTCTCTTTGAAGATAAAAACACTAGTTACTATTTTTCAAATATATGTCTAGAAAACTTAAAAATTTCACTTTCTTTTATAATATCATAAAACACCCTTACATTGATAAATCCAGCAGATTTATATTCAAATGTAACAAAAAAGCTAAGATGTCACTAAGTAAGTGCTATATATTCAAGGAAGAAAAGAGAATGGTAAAATAATGCTAGAAATAACTCAAAAAAAAATTTAGAATGCTTAAAAAACTTAAGTCAACTAATTTGGGAATGGAATTTTAAAATCAATTAAACCTTCAGAATGACTTAGAAAACAAAAACTTCTCTAACTGAATTTCAGTGCTATATAATTTTAATTCAGAGGACATTTACTTGATAGTAAGATAAAAATTTCTTATCGGTATACAAGTTAGGATTTATTTTACTGTGTATATTCTTTTTAATAAAAATTTTTTTAAAAATTATACCTAGGGACAAAAGAATGGGGACAGAAAAGAACCAAAAAAAAGTACCGATGATTTGAATTAATACTTTTAGCCTCAGAAACTTATTTTAAAAGTTTAAGTTCTTATTAATCATGGCTTTTGAACACCAGAGAAAAAATAATAGTAAATACTTTTCAGAATAATGAGTTAAACTGGCATCTTTCAAAGTGAATAATGAGGCTCTTTATTAGTTATCATTAAGAACTTATATACTTTAACATGTTTGAAGTAGTCTTGTTTGCCCCACCATCCTTGCCCCCACAAAAACAAAAACCTGGGTCAGTCAGATCAAGTCTTTTGAACTAACGCCAGTTTGCAGGAAATTCAGGGATAAAGCACATGTTAAACATCACCGCAAGGATGTAATCTGCAAAATCCAGGATATGAGATACTCTATACAATAAAGCTCTGTTGATAGATAAATAAATAAATAAATAAGGAGAGAAAAGCTATAGACCAAAAAGAATGACTATATCAACCAATCCACAGAAATCAACTGTAAAAAAATATATATATTTGTAAGACCATAGCAAATCTGAACTTTAACGAGTTAACAATAAAGAATTGACAATTTTTAAAGATATGATAAAGTTATTTTTTAAAAATCCTCATCTTTTAAAGATATATACTGAAAATAATTACTAATAAAATTATATCAATTCAGGAATTTCACACAAAGTAATTTTCAAAATAAAGCAGGCATACTTAAAGATGAAAAAGATCAGCCACATGTTAACTGTTATGGCTGGATGATGACCACATACTCGTTTCCTTCTGTATATGTCTAAAATCTTCCAAAAAAGACTTTTTAATATCAGTATATGTTAAAAAATCAGTCAAGTGGAGATGACACATATATATTAAGATCTCTAATTTATTAGCAAATATTTTTAAAAGATCAATGGAAAAAATATAACATCAACTTCATAAAACATAGATATTATCTTCAGAAACTAATTTTGATTTACTACCTATAAGAGGTTGAGAAAATTACTAGTTTACCATAAGTCCAAAAAGGTTAGAAAATTGACTACTACATAAACCAAAATCTATAGAATTCTACATATACATTGTAAACCTGACAATATAAAATCCATTTTAGTTAACTAGTATTTTACTTACATTTTCCATATAGTTTGGTTTAAAGCCCTCTTGCTGTCGCCTCAGTTCCTCCTGTTCTCTGTGTCGGATCATTTCTTCCTCACGGCGACGATGTTCTTCTTCATGCCTAAAAAATTTAAAAAAAAAAAAATTTCAGCAATATGACATGTGAGCCATAATTGAATATTTTATTTCATTTACATTATGCCAAATCTGTGATTAATGATTGACCATGACATCCTAGATTTACCTACCTTCTTCTATTTTGCTCCAAGCCTTTAATAAATCAAATAAAAAAAGAAATAAAGTAATTTAAGGTTAACTAAATTGAGTAACATATAACTAGGATAGTTATTTGTTCATATTCAAGAACTCAAGAATTCAAAAAAGCTCAAACATGTACCCTCTTACTATAAAAACAGAAAAGTCTAGGAGCTACCATCACTAGCACGGCAGAGTTCAGAAAGGCACTTAAGAACATATCGAGAGATAAATCACCTCAAAGGAGCACAATGCCTAGACAAAAATCCCATTATGTGCAGACAGAAACCTTACTAACTGCTCTCTCCCCCATTTTCATCAACCCACTAAGAAAATCCCCTGTAACCCACAACCTTTTTTTTTTTTTTTTTTTTTGAGACAGAGTCTCACTGTGTTGCCCGGGCTAGAGTGCCGTGGCGTCAGCCTAGCTCATAGCAACCTCAAACTCCTGGGCTCAAGCAATCCTTCTGCCTCAGCCTCCCGAGTAGCTGGGACCACAGGCATGCGCCACCATGCCCGGCTGATTTTTTCTATACATATATTTTTAGTTGTCCAGATCATTTCTTTCTATTTTTTAGTAGAGACGGAGTCTCACTCTTGCTCAGGCTGGTCTCGAACTCCTGACCTTGAGCGATCCACCCGCCTCAGCCTCCCAGAGTGCTGGGATTACAGGCGTGAGCCACCGTGCCCGGCCACAACCTCTTTTTATAAATGAAATTTTACAGGATAATCATTTACTTTACTATCTACAGCCACTTCGGGGCTGGAGCAGTTAAGCAGTTGAGACAGAGATCGTATGACCTGCAAAGACTGAAATATTTACCATTTAGTCCTATTCCAGGTTTGTCTAACCCTGTCCTAGAGGTACATTCAAGCAAAAATCACATGCATATGTAGGATTATCAAATCAGTAATTAAGTTATAATATGATTAAGAGGGAAAACCTACGATATTAAAGTAATAGACTCACATTACATTGACATTATAATCAATGCAAATTCAAATATATACAGGTTGAATAACCCTAATCCAAAAAGCTCCCAAATCTGAAACTTTCTGAGACCCAACATGATACCGCAAAAAAAAAAAAAAAAAAAAAGTACTCACTGGAGCATTCTGGATTTCAGATAGGGATGCTCAACCACTAAATATAATACAAATATTCCAAAACACACAAAAAATCCAAAACACTTCTGGCCCCAAGTATTTCAAATAAGAGATACTACACCTGTATGCCCTCTACCAAAAAAGCTGTAATAGTAACTTAAATACTGAAGGCTGTGTAAAGCTGATTCCCCTTTATTAGGTCTCATTTTCCAGGTTATTCTTATAAGCACTTTTCTACATTCAGAATTATAATGTAATTCTCAAATTTCAAGACACTTTGTTGTTGTTTGTTGTACAACACTCCCCTAAACACAAGTCCACTAAAGACACGGTGATTTCTTCCATCGCCAGAGGAAAAACTCACTGTTAAGACTTCATGTCAGACCACATGAAGTGAAAAAGACAATGCTCCTAAGGGATTTCAAGCAAAATCTGGGCTACTTTGAGATTGCTGTTTAACTCTCCAAAATATAACTCTGTTACATTCCTAAAAAAAAATCTTCAAGTAAATTGGTTAGTCTGTGTCCTGGACATTAACACATTTCATACATTTTATTGTTAAGAAAACACTTTCACATTCATGTACTGTTGAAAATGTATATTAGGTACAGGGGTAAATGTTCCTTTATTAAAAGACTCAAAGGCCAAATGTATTCAAATTAAGAGTTTTTCTCATTTTAAAAAGGGAAAAATATACTAATATACCTTATATTCCCAGTGGGATCTGGGGCAGCACCTCATAATCAACCACATTAATATTTCTGCAGTAAGATGAACATTCACACTCTTTGGAAATGATAAAGGTTTTACACAACCACAACATGAGTTTAGGTCAAGCTTTGCCATCAAATAGACTCATGTCAGATCCTACCATTCACTAAATGATACATGAAAAAACTTTTGGTTTCAAGGCTTTTTGGTCTTCAGAATTGCAGAGAGACTATTGTGGACAATGATCTTGTTGGAGTTCAATATCCAATATATAATTTGAAATATGCAAAATCCATTTCTAGTAAAGAGGACATATGCAAGGACATATGTACACACAGATATATGCCGTCGCTTATTTGTAAAAGCAAAAGGTTGAAGACACGTTAATCAGTTATAATTGAGGGACAATTAAGGTTCACTGAAGCCAAGGAACACAACTGTTACAAAGATGTAGGTCTGCATCTACTGACATGAAAGACTGTGTATGGCATTGTTGTCAGAAAAAAGCCAAGTATAAAAGAATGGTATTCCTATTATGGCTTTCGAAAGTCTTTTCTATGAGCATACAAGAGGGTATGAAAAAGTTTATACCACACTGAAAATCATTTGGAGAACAAGAGCACTGCACTTATGGTTATAGCACAATGACAATTCCATAATCTAAATTTATAAACAGCACACAGAAACATACCCCATTGTCCACATCTTTGCTTTCAATTATTTCTACTCCACAAGATGCTTTAAATATCACTTCTATAGTTATATAAATTATCTCTTCGGGTTAAGGATTACTTCCTAGGTTATATTCACAAACGGAACTACTAAGTACAGTTATGACAAATTTTAACATCCTTTGCACTATATTTTATTGAAAACTGATAAAATTTCAACTTTTTTCCTCTTTTTGTTTTTGGCAGCTCTCAGAACTGGAAAATTTGTTTTATTTAGAAGCCCATTAATTATTTACAGGTCGCAAATTTGTTTTTTATTTTTGTAGGATTTTGAAAATCTGAGAGACACTAGACACTAAGCCATGATGCCTACTGGATAGAACTTTCCTGTTGTTCCTGTTCAGCACTATGCCCTCACATCTATCACAGGGCCCAAGATATCATAAGGGCTTTATAATCATTAGCTGAATGACTTAAGAAAGAAAATGAATGGGTGGAAGGGTAGGTGAGTGAGTAAGTAGGTGAGAGGAGAAGGAATGAAAAAACAAGTGATCAAACAAAGGACTACTAAGTGATCAAGTCACAAGTTAAACCAGCTCATCTAAGGTCCTCATCCTGGTCATCTTTCTGTACTGACACAAGCTCTGAAGAATTAAGTGACGTAGGTCAGGTGCAGCAGTTCATACCTGTAATCTGAGCACTCTGGGAGGCTGAGGTGGGATGATAGCTTGAGCTCAGGAGTTCAAGACCAGCCTGAGCCAAGATTGAGACCCAATCTCTACTAAAAATAGAAAAATTAGCCAGGCGTGGGGCTGCACACCTGTATTCCCAACTACGTGGAGGCTAAGGCAGGAGGATCTCTTGAGCCCAGGAGTTTGAGGTTGCAGTGAGCTATGATGACACCACGGCACTCTAGCCTTTGGAGACTCTTGTCTCCAAAACAAAAAAGAATTAAGTGACCTATGAAAAACTAACTTATTTGTAGCATTGAAAGGAAAACTAGAAATTTGTGTACCCCAAAGACATTCTTTAATTTATCTCAAAATATACTTTCCTAAGCCAATTTTTTCTATCTTCCAACCAAGATCTGGATTGTTAACAAGTAAAGCTGATCTTACGTGGTAGCAGCCCCAGCCAGATAAATCTCTTCAGTTTAATTGTAACAATTTTCTTGATTTGCTGTCTTGAAAGTATGGCATATATTTGACAATTCTTACTACAAAATAAGTTTCTAGACACAACCAATTTTTCCTTTCCTTTATACATGCTGCAAAACTACTCAATTTTAAGACAAGTTACTCGCATTTCTAAAATCAAGATTTTTACAGTTAATTTCAAAAGAAATTACCCAGCCACCAGGCAAGAATAGGGAGGTATTAACACATTTATCGTTGCCTCCTTTTGCTAAAATTTAGCCAACCATAAAGGTTACCCATCATTGCTGAAATATTTTTACTATTAGTATTCAGTTATCTGAATTTTAAATTGAATCTGACATCCTCGCATATTAAAAAGTCATGCAGGCCAGGCACGGTGGCTCAGGCCTGTAATCCTCGCACTCTGGGAGGCCGAGGTAGGCGGATTGTTTGAGCTCAGGAGTTTGAAACCAGCCTGAGCAAGAGTGAGACCCCGTCTCTACTAAAAATAGAAAGAAATTAATTGGATAACTAAAAATATATAGAAAAAATTAGCCGGGCATGGTGGCGCATGCCTGTAGTCCCAGCTACTCAGGAGGAAGAGGCAGGAGGATCGCTTGAGCCCAGGAGTTTGAGGTTGCTGTGAGCGAGGATGATGTCACGGCACTCTAGCCCAGGCAACACAGTGAGACTCTGTCTCAAAAAAAAAAGTCACGCAATAAAAAATTACCACATACACAGACTACTTCTCACACCAAGCATCCAATATCTCACTCAACCTGTGATTAGATTAGTAACCTATTAAAAATGCCCATAAGCACACCATACCATTTCTGTGCACTTTATTTTCTTTTTAATAACCTGATCATTCTAACTAATGTCTGTCTCACTCATCTATTACAGTAAGTTCTATAGTGGCAGAGCTTGTGTCTTTTTTTCTCCATTTTGTCCCCAAACTAGAGTACTATTTTTCTTTCTCTTTTCTGTATTTTTAACTTTTTCAGACATATAGAAAAGTTGCATAAACAGTACAGAGTTTCTATATATATCTCATCCAGTTTCCCCTAATATTAACATCTTATATAACCATGGTAAAATCATGAAAACCAGGAATGAACATTGGTACAATATTGTAATTAACCAGAGAGCTTAGTAAAATTTCAAGTTTCCCCACTACTAAGTCTTTTTTCCATTCCAGGACCTAAACCAGAATTCCACATTGCATTTAATTCTTATTTCTCCTTACTCCCCCTCCAGGCTATAATGATTCAGTCTTTCTGTCTTTCATGAACTTGACACTATTAAAAAGAAATGATTATTTTGTAGAATGTCCTTCAATTTGGGTTTGTCTGATGTTTTCTCATGACTGGAATGAGGTTATGCACACTGGGCAAGAATACCACAGAAATGATGTTGTGCCCTACTCAGTGAATCCAAGGAGTTCCTGGATGTCAACTGTCTTATTACAGGTGATATGGAATTTAATATTTGGTTACAGTGTTACCTTGCCTTTAAATTTACTATTTTTCCATTTGTATTTAATACAACTTTGTGACTATGCAAAAATCCTGTTTCTCCAGTTTTTGCCTACCAACTCTGGCATCCATCGATAAAGCTTGTCTGTAAAAATTATTACTACAGTATTTGCCTATCTATTATTTTCTATCTCCCTCATTCTTTCTGCATTTATTAATTAGAATTCCACTGTAAGGAAGAGCTGTGCTTTCTCCCTCATTTATTTATTCAATTACTTTTATCAGTATAGACTCATGCATATTTATTTTATTCTCTGGTTTAAAATCTAATATTATCATTTTTTATTTTGTTACTGAAATTGTTACAACTTTAGCTATTAGGAGCTAATTCAGGTTGAATCTTGGCTTCTTTATGTTTTGTTTTGCTGTGGGTTTGGTTTTTTGGGGTTTTTTTTGTTTTTTGGGGTTTTTTTTTTTTTTTTGAGACAGGGTCTTGTTTTGCTACCCAGGCTGGAGTGTGGTGGTGCGATCATAGCTTACTGCAATGTGGAACTCCTAGGCTCAGGCAATCCTCCTGCCTCAGCCTCCCAAGCAGCTAGGACAACAGGTACACATTACCACACCTGGCTAATTTTTAATTTTTTTGTAAAGACAGGATCTCACTATGTTACCCAGGATGGCCTCCCAAAGTGTTGGGAATACAGGCGTGTGCCACCATGCCCAGCTGAGACCTGGTTTCTTCTGATATGCCCTTATCCTTTTTGGAGTATTTCCTTTCTTTCTGACACAAGATATTCAGTCTCATATTGGTTTTTCAGTCCTGGAATCAACCACTTCTCAAAAAATCTCTAGTTCCTTTTATTGGGGAATGGTACTTAGAAACAAATATCTGGGCACTAGAAGTGCTCATTGCTAACTGAAGAATCACTGCTTCTAGGGCCTCTCAGTGGACAGAGCTATAAAACACAGTACATGTACATATAAACCCATACATAAACACACATCTATATTTCTATACCTATCTGTCAATATTAAATACCACTGATTTCATAATTATATCTGATTCCAAACTAACACCACAGGATTCATTCTAATTTGTGCCTTTCATCTTTCCCCAGCAATGAGAAACCTGGATTTCATTACATATAATATATAGTCATACCTCAGTACCCATAGGAAACTGGTTCTAGAACCTCCCCCAAATACTCAAATCCAAGTACTTGATAAAAAATGGCACAGTACTTGTAGACAATCTATGCACACCATCCCATATACTTTAGTTTTTTTTTTTAGAGGCAGGGTCTCACTCTTGTCACCCAGGCTACAGTACAAAACCATATCCATCTTTTCACTGTAACCTCAGAATCCTGGGCTCAAGTGGTCCTCCCACCTCAGCCTCCCAAGTAGCTAGGACTACAGGTGCGTTACCACATCCAGATTTTTTTTTTGTAATGACAAGGTCTAGCCATGCTGCCCAGGCTGGTCTCCAACTCCTGGCCTCAAAAGATTCTTCCTCCTCAGGCTCCCAAAGGACTGGGATTACAGGCATGAGCCACCAAGCCTGGCCCTCCCATATACTTTAAATCATTTCTAGATTACTTATACCACCTAACACAATGTAAAGGCTATGTAAATAGTTATTACGTTGTACTGTTTAGGGAATGATGACAAGAAAAAAAGTCTGTCCACCTTCAGTACAGACAATTTTTCTTCACATATTTTCCATCTGAGGATGGTTGAATCCATAAACGTGAACCCATGGATACAGAGGACAAACTGTGTTTACTATTTTGTTCACTTAGAAAAGTATACACATAAAGTCATTTCAGAAGCCGGGCGCGGTGGCTCACGCCTGTAATCCTAGCACTCTGGGAAGCTGAGGCGGG